GTGGCTGGGCTGCTCTTGCCCATCGCTGCTTTGCTAAATGGCGGAGGAGCCGAGGCCTGCCAGGAGGCGGGAACTGTGCCCCCCCTACCCGGAAAGCAGCCGCCTTCCCCCCATGGCTCGCACAAAGGCCCCTTTGAAAGCCGTCCCCAGAGCGGCAGTGGCAGCCGTCCAAGCGCACAGGCACGCAGGTGGCATGCAAACCAGCTCCAGCTGACCAGGCCTGGCCCAGGAGAGGAGGAAGCCAGCTGGCCAGGGCAAGGTGCCTGGGCAGAGGTGGTGGGCGACTCCTCCCTCCGCCTCGCCCACCAGGAGGGCTTGGCTCTGGCAGTCGGGTGGAAAATCACAGGGGAGAGAGAGAGAGAGAGAGAGAAGGCTTTGGTCCAGTCCACTCCCCCCTCCAAAACAATAAACCCCGAAGGAAGCACAGGGACTCAGTTGTCCAAGAACAGAGCCGGCAGGGGGATGGGGAAGAGTTCACTGCTAGGACCCCCCCCATTTGCATCTTGCCCTCCCCAAGGTCTGTCTGGGGGTGGGGAGAGAGAGAAGGACAGCCGTTTTGACTTCTCCACTGCACGCATCAAGGCCACAGAGCAGCCAGAGACAAGCATCCTTGTCAAGCCTTCAAGCGCTAGCTGGGTTGCAGCAGAGTCCTTCCCGCCCCATCAATGCCTCTGTTGTCCTGGGCAAGCCCAATTCTTCCGCTGCTCTTGGGCCTCCCTTTGGGAAGACGGGTGCTGGATCCCAGAGAGCTCCAACTGCTGCGACGGTTACCCAGGAGCAAGGGCACCTCTGGGCATGTGCAGAGTACGGCCCCTCCGTGATCGCCGAGTCTCCCCCCTCCCCACCAAGGACAGCGGCAGGACAAGAGGAATGGCATTGAATTGGCTTGAAACCAGGCTGCCTTGGAAGAAGCGTCTTCCCATCCCAAGAGGAGAGCCGGCTTTCTGGGACACCCCCCCCGGCTGCTGCCCCCCTCCCTCCCTCCCAACTTCTGGCTGGGGATGATTTACTTGCGTCTTCAGGAACAAGTCACCTGCCCACCGAAGGGCTGCTCGCCACCGCCACATGCCGGGGAGGCGCTGGGCCAGCTGAGTTACGGCACCCAGGCGGGGAGCGGTATTTATAGCAGACCATAAATTTCCTTGACTCCTAATAAGTTGAGGTAATGGCTCATACTTTAGTGCTTTTTGCTGTGATTTCCGAAATGCCTTTTAATTAGGAGGAAATGGCAGGCTGGGCTCTGCAGAGACTCTTGATCTGCCACACTCACCCTGAACCCAGCCCCTCACCTCTGATCTCTACATACACACCGCAAACGACAGCCAGGCCAGGAGGGACACATGGTGCTCCAAAGGCGCTTGCTGAGCACTCCCAGCCCAGGCAGGCAGCAGCAGGGCAGGCCAGCAAGCACAAGGGCCAATCAACTGGCTTCTCCCAAGCGCCTCAATGGGTTTGTGTGTTCGCTTGCTGCTGCCTCCAGGGAGGAGCTTGCTCTCCACGCCTCTCCTTGGCTCACATCTGGACCAACATCCCTGCCCACTTTCTGCAGGACAAAGGGCAGGGCCCATACTTGACAAGCAGGAAGCCCCAGACTCAGCCCCCTGGCAGCTCCAGGCAAAAGGGACCTTGGGAGTCCAAGGCTGGGAAAGAGCCTGGAGATCGCTGTCAGTCAGAGGAGACCAAGCGGGGCTCGATGGAGCAATCCGTGTCCCACCCTGGCACGAGGCAGATTCCTGAGACAACCGCTGCTCAGCTGGAGGGTGGCACTGGGCAGGTGCGCAGCAAATGGCAGCTAAATTGAACTGCCAGAGGACTTCAGGAGGAGGAGGTGAAACACCCCTGGGAAGGGACTCGGAGCCTTGAGCCCAGGTGGCAGCAGCCAACACCCATTCAGGTGAGGGTCACCCTCCTGCCTACGCCAGCCCTTATGAGGGGCCTCAAAGAATCCCAGCTGCTGGAAGAGGCCAAAAGGGGACCCTCTGGGCCAGCATCCTGCCTTTCAAAGGGACCACCCACAGGCTCTGATGTGAAGCCCACAAGCAAACCATCTCAGGGCAGCGGGTCTCTCCTACAAAGGGTATTCAGTGGTTACTAGGAGCACACAGCCTTGGCCACGGACGCCTCATGCCCTAGCTGGGCTGCTGTCAAGGTGCCCTGAGATTCTCACACGGTGCTTTTACAGGCTCAGTTCTCCATCTGAAAAATGGGAATAAAACAGCAGGCTTCCTGGCAACAGGTTTGTTGCAAAAGACTAACAAACACACTGCAGAGATGCGCTTTGTGAATGCAGACTGAAAGTGAGCATTTCAAGGGTAGCTGGGCTGTAGCTGACCTGCAGTCTGCACTGCCAGGAACCGGATGGGACCCCCCTGGAAAGCCACTGCAAGCTCAGGAAGGACCCAAGAGCAGAACCCCCTCCCTCCATTTGGGAGGACGGCTGAGCCCCTCAACTTTGCAAGAGGGGAGGCATAGCAAGGAAGCCCTGGAGCCCCCGGCCAGGGTCTGCCTGGAGAAGCAGCCGATACAATGCAATAATAACCAGGCAGAGAGAAAACAGCCAGCAGAGGAAGAGGAAATTTTAATTTCAGAAATCAGTTTGGATTAGCCACACTCTGGTGCAGCTGTGGCACGATAGGCATCCAAGAGACCTTGTCAGGGGCGCAGGCGGCAGCATCAAGGGCAGCAGAGAGGGGCCCAGGCTCTGATGATCACAGCGAAGTCTGGCCTAATTGAGACAGATGAAATGTTGGGCTGCCTCTGGGCTTGGCCCACTTCCTCTCCCCACCCCGACTCCCCTAAGTGGGGAAGGGCCACAGTAGCTCAACAGTGGAGCACCTGCCTTGCATGCAGAAAGCCCATGGGCTTCCCAGATGGGACTGGGAAGGACCCCTGACTGTTGCCCCAAACCCCGGAGAGTCACTGCCAATCAGCGCAGACAATACTGAGTTGGATGGGCCAGTGGTCTGCCTAAATAGAAAGCCGCTTCCTCTATTTCTAATCTCCACTGCAGCCTGGTTGTGAGTCTCCAATCCTACAGATTTCTCTTCGGTGTGATCCAGCAGAGATCTTTTGCGTTTAGTCTTGCTGTGAAAACAGGGCTAAGGCAAAGATTTTGTCTATATCTTCCACTTGGCTGGAAGAGAAGACAGACTTCTCTTGCTCACACAACAGAACTTTGCTCATGTTCAGAGGGGGCACTCTCTTCTCTGCCCATTGATGCCCCAGGGCTTTGCTCTGCCTGGGGCACCTGCCTGCCCAGCCCCCACCCCCAAGCAAAGCCAGGGACCCATCAATATTTCCTGGAGAATCCAGATGCAAGACAGTCAGCCCTGTCCACAAAACTGTGTGTGGCTGAAGGTTCAGTGAGGGAAGGCGGGTGCCTGCCTAGGGGGGAGCAGGCACAGGGGGGTGGGATTTAATGCCAGACGCTGGTCAGTTCTGCCTCCGAACCCTCATTCACCTGTAAGCACTGTGCTAAGGTCATGGGGTGGGGGAAGACCAGAAGAAGACAAAGCCACCCACTCAGCCTCAGTTCACTGGAGAAACCCTCCCTCTTTGCCTTTCCCTCTCCCTCCCTCCCCCCACCCCACCAAGGCAGAGGGGAATATTGGCCACTGGGCACCAAAGCCAGGGGGCAGCCCCAGGAGCAGCAGTTGAGCAGTTGTGCCCTGAAGAGATGGGGGGGGGCTCAGCTTCAAGTCCTACACCCCCCCTCCAGAACCAGCTCCACCCAACCACCCTCCCCAGGGAGGAGCCCACAAGGGATTCAGCCACAGAGGCCCATGGGCCACCAGTACCCCCAGAAGGGGCAAAGGGGTGCCTCAAGGTCACGGGCACAAACTCCAGGGCCACCCCAGCCCAGCTGTGCCCCAGCTGCCGCTGGATGATGAGGACTCAGCGCCACTTGAAACAGGGGAAAGGATGCAGCCCACCCAAAGGAGAAGATCCCACGCTAGTTTCAGCCTCACATCCCAGGAGGGTTAGAGGAGGGCACCAAACAAGCCTGGGCACAGCAGAGCCCCAAGAGGACCCTTCCCCAGCCCAAAACTCTGCTTTTCTCCCAGCCACTGGTCCTGCGCAGCCACCTCCTGGGATGGGCCCCCCACCGGCGCCTCGACCGGATCCGGGGTCCCCACCCGAGCGAGCGAGACCCCCCAGCAGCCTCTCCCAGCCCCCTTCTCCCCCCAGTCCCGGGCGGGGGCTCCTGCCTGCTCCCTTGCCCGGCCCAGTCGTCGAGCGGCAGCTGAGCTCAGCAAAGCGCTGCTCCGCTGGCCGCGTTCCCCGTTAACCCCTGGAGGGAAGCGGCGCAGGAGGGAAGCGGGGCGGCGGCGGCGGCGTTAAGACCAGCGAGCGAAGCCTCCTGCATCACGCTAATGCTCTGCCCGAGAACACGATGCGTCAGCAGCAGCGGCGGCGGCGGCGGCCCATTCCCGTGCTGACTGAAGGACAAAAGGATGCGCGAGCAGCCCCGGCTGCTTCCTCCGCCGCTGCTGCCTCCGCCGGCCCCGGGAGGCGAGAGGGGCGCCGCCGCTAGAAGATGGTCCCGGGCTGCTCGGCTCCTGCCGCCGCCGCCGCCCCCGCGCGCCCTCCCCCGCCTCCGCCTCCTCCTCCTCCCGCCGCCGCCGCCGCCGCCGCCGCAGTCGAGGGGCGAGCGAGGCGCTGAAGGCAGCAGCAGCAGCAGCAGCCGGCGCGGCGGCGAGCGGGTGCCGCAGCTCTCGTCGACCTCGCCGCGCCGCCGGGGGGGCGCCCGGCTGGCCGCCAGCCCCACCGAGCCCCGCTAAGGCCAGCGCCCCGGGCTCCCCGCAGGGCGGGCGCACGGACGGGCCGGGGCCCGCGGAGGAGGCGCAGGAGGAGGACGACGGCCGGCCGGCGCGGGAGCAGCTCGCTCGGGGAGCCCATGGAGCAGCCGCCCCCCGGGCAGCCCGCCGCGGCCAGCGCTGCTCCTCCGCCTCGTCCCGCTGCTGCCGCTGCTGCGCCCGGCGCCCAAGGACGAGGCGCCTGCCCGCGCCTGGCCAGGCTCTCCCGGGCACCGGGCATCTGCCATGGACCTGCATAGCTGGCCGGGCCGCTCCGGCGGGCGCGCGCCCCTCTAGGAGGAACCATTTTGCCTGCCTGCCGCCGCCCCCCCCCTCGCTGAATCGCCCGGTCCGGCCGAGACGGGATGGCGCACCCGGGCTGAGCGCCTCGAGGGGACGCACGGACGGACGGACGGACGGAGCCTGCCAGCGCAGAAGGCGCCCCCCCCTCGCCGGATCGCACCGAGCAGCCCTCTCCCTCCTCCTCTTCCTCCTTCTCCCCCCCCTCTCCCTCTCCCTCCCCCCCATCTCCCCTTCCGATGGAGAGCGGCGCGGGCAGCCGCGCGCTCCAGCCGGGCTAAGCGGGTGGGGGGGCACTTCTCCGTTCGATGCCGAATCCCCCACGATGGTGAAGTATGAACGTGCCACACCATGAAGCTCTTGTGGCAGGCAACTGCGCACCACGCCTGGAATGCCGCCCCGCTTGCCGTAGTCTACCTCGTGGCGCAAACGTGGCTGGCGTGCGCAGTGGCGGCCGTGGCCGGGCCGCAGAGCTGCCCCTCGGTGTGCTCCTGCAGTAACCAGTTCAGCAAGGTGGTGTGCACGCGGCGAGGCCTCTCCGAGGTGCCCCAGGGCATCCCCTCCAACACGCGCTACCTGAACCTCATGGAGAACAACATCAAGATGATCCAGGCCGACACCTTCCGCCACCTGCACCACCTGGAGGTGCTGCAGCTGGGCAGGAACGCCATCCGCCAGGTGGAGGTGGGGGCCTTCAACGGCCTGGCCAGCCTCAACACCCTGGAGCTCTTCGACAACTGGCTGACGGTGGTGCCCAGCGGGGCCTTCGAGTACCTCTCCAAGCTGCGCGAGCTCTGGCTGCGCAACAACCCCATCGAGAGCATCTCCTCCTACGCCTTCAACCGCGTCCCCTCCCTCATGCGCCTGGACCTGGGCGAGCTCAAGAAGCTCAAGTACATCTCGGAGGGGGCGTTCGAGGGATTGTACAACTTGAAGTACCTGAACCTGGGGATGTGCAACATTAAGGATATGCCCAACCTCACCCCACTGGTGGGCCTGGAGGAGCTGGAGATGTCGGGGAACAACTTCCCCGCCATCCAGCCGGGCTCCTTCTATGGCTTGAAGTCGCTCAAAAAGCTGTGGATTATGAGCTCCCAGATCAGCCTGATTGAGCGGAACGCCTTCGACGACCTGACGGCGCTGGTGGAGCTCAACCTGGCCCACAACAACCTCTCCTCTCTGCCCCACGACCTCTTTGCCCCCCTGAGGTACCTGGTGGAGCTGCACTTGCACCACAACCCCTGGAGTTGCGACTGCGACATCCTGTGGCTCTCCTGGTGGCTGCGGGAGTACATCCCCACCAACTCCACCTGCTGCGGGCGCTGCCATGCGCCCATGCACATGCGCGGGAAGTTCCTGGTGGAGGTGGACCAGACGGCTTTCCAGTGCTCGGCCCCCTTCATCATGGATGCCCCCCGGGATCTAAACATCTCCGAAGGGAGGGTGGCCGAGCTCAAGTGCCGCACGCCTTCCATGTCCTCCGTCAGGTGGTTGCTGCCCAACGGGACCGTGCTGAGCCACGCGTCCAACCACCCCAGGATCTCCGTCCTCAACGACGGGACCTTGAACTTCTCCCAGGTTTTCCTGACGGACACGGGGGTCTACACTTGCATGGTCACCAACGTGGCGGGGAACTCCAACGCCTCGGCCTACCTCAACGTGAGCACGGCCGAGCTCAACACTTCCAACTACAGCTTCTTCACCACCGTGACGGTGGAGACCACAGAGACTTCGCCCGAGAACATCTTCCCCAAGTTCACCAAGCCGGTGCCGACCACGTCCACGGGCTACCAGCCGGCGTACACCACCACCACCACTGTGCTCATCCAGACCACCAAGGCGCCCAAGACGGACCCCGCCTCGGACAACCACAACGACAAGATGCAGACCAGCCTGGACGAGGTGATGAGAACCACCAAGATCATCATTGGCTGCTTTGTGGCCGTGACGCTGCTGGCGGCGGCCATGTTGATTGTCTTTTACAAACTTCGCAAAAGGCACCAGCAGCGCAGCACCGTGGCAGCCGCCAGGACTGTGGAAATAATACAGGTGGACGAGGACATGCCGGCCTCCTCAGCCTCGGCGGCTGCCCCCACTGCTACGTCGGGGGTTTCAGGTGAGGGGGCAGTTGTACTGCCGGCTATTCGTGACCACATTAACTACAACACTTACAAACCTTCACACGGGGCCCACTGGACAGAAAACTGCTTGGGGAACTCTCTGCACCCCACGGTCACTACTATTGCCGAACCTTATATAATTCAGACCCACCCCAAGGAGAAAGTGCAGGAAACGCAAATCTGACTCCTCCCCCCTCCTCAAGAAATTATTAAAAAAAAATTGCAATAGAATGCACAAACAGAAACAGACATCAACTTTTGTACAGAGAGGTGGGGGCGGGGGGGACAGTTTTTTTCTCCTCTTGTATATGCTTATATATTAAGTCTATGGGCTGAGATAAGAGAAGCAGATTATATTAAAAAAAATGTAAAGAACCCCCCCCCCTATTTTCTAACTTGTAAGTTCTATTTAAAGGGAGGCAGCAACTACAAACAACCCCCCCCCCGCGCGCCCAATCCCCCAAACAGCAGCAACAAAAAGGAGAGTCAGAAATTGCCATTGTGACTTCCTGGAATAAGATCTATTTAAAGCGAAAGAAAGAAGGAAAAGGCAACAGTGAAGATAAAAAAGAAAACCACAGAACCAGGGACTAGCAGGGGGTGGGATTTGTCCTTTTTAGAAGATGTTACTTAGAATGCAGTAAAAACAAACCCGTTTCTATAGAGACACTCTTTTCTTAAAGCCCTGGAAAAAGAAAACTCCCCGTATTTACAGAGCTATCTTACTTACAGGAAGAAAAAAAAAAAGGGGGGGGAGCGCACCAAGAGTTTGTACTGTGCCAAAATGTTACAAATGCAATAAAAAAGGTCATTTTTTAAAAAGAAAAAAACAGCAGCAGCAACAGAAGGACAATTATCATAAGGGAACGAAATACTTGTATTATCAAACTGCAAAAAATCTAAACCAGCAAGAGCCTGCCCCTCCTCCTCCCAGCGAGGGTGTGGTGGACGTGGGGCCGACCATGTGGGGGGTGACCCCTGAGGAAGTGATGGGCCGGAGGGTGGGGGGCCCCTTGGCGTGCCGCCCCCTCCTCACCCGCGCCTGGGAGGAGGAAGAGTTGCTTTGCGCCCAAGCAGGCCGCCGGGTGCCTTGCCACTGCACCACATTCCTGCGGTGGTTCTGTTTAACCCTCTGTGCGCAGGGTCCAGTGCGCAAAAACAGCTTTTTCGGGGGGGGGGGCGGCGAGGGTGAGAGAAGAGCAGGAGGACGTCTTGTGCGGCCGCCTGGAGGACAACCACGCATCAGCCTCGTGCGCCGCGATGGGTGCTTGCGTGTCGGCTACCCTGTGGGCAATTTGACATATGATTGTAGAACCATGAACCAATTTTGTGCTTTTCGTTCCTTTCCCCCCTGAAGGTGGAAGTGAGGGGCGGGGGGGGGGCGAGGGCTGCTCCTCCCTCCTCCGTGTGGGGCTGGGCTCTGGCTGCGAGGGAGCGAGTGAAGGGCACATTCCTCAGCCCTCGTCCTCCTCGCCCACTTCTCAAAAGGCAAGCGGAATGCCACAGGAGGGAACGGGCAAAACTGGCATCCTCCGGGCAAGGAGTGCGGTTTGGAGAATGGTGCTGCCCCCCACGCCCCCCCACCCTGCCTGCCCTCCGCCAAAAAAAATCCCCCTGTCCTTTAGGAGGGGAGAGGAATGTGCAAAGGGGTCCGGGCACCGTCGGAGTCTTCTCTGTGCCCAGGGTCCCACCAGGGGCTTCCCATGACTTTGGTTGCTCATTTCTGCTGGAGATTTGATCAAAGAGGTGGCAATCTATTGGGGGGGTGTTGGGGGGGCAGCAGAGAGGGCAACAACAACCCAAAAGCCAGAATTATCTGACTGTAACTCTGAGACAAGTGTATTTTTGTATTTTAATAAATATTGTTAACGTTTTTAATAATGCAATGTCCCTAAAGGGTTATGCTGAATGCCAAGACCAGGGGAGGGGAGGGGGGAGAGGGAGAATTAAAACCACAACCGTATTTCCAAAGGTTTTGGGGACCCAAAAACTGACCTGCAAAGCTGGAATTGAGGTGGGCAATTTGGGGACGGGGAAAAATGGGAAGCCTAAAAGGTTCATTTCAAAAAGCAAAAAGGAAAAAAAAAGTATTTAATATTTTTTAAACTGTCAAGTAACCTTTCCTTGAATTAAATAAAACCACTTCAAGTGCTAGAACCAGCCACTCGCGTCCCGTCTATTACTAGAGCAGCGGCTGGGAGGGGGGGCACAGGACCCCCTGCAGGTGTTATTGTGTCCCCTTTTAAGGGGAGATGGGGCAGGACCCCAAATTAAGGACACCAACCCCTCCCCTGGCAACTGAAGCCCCTCTGTGTTACTGTGGGGTTGGGGGGGGGGTTGTGCAGCGGCAGCATGGACTGCCTTGGTTCAGCTAGGAGCTTGTGGGGAGTCTTGACGGGAGATGGGGAGAGGGGCTCTTGCTGAGGCCAGGACAAGCTGTGGCTGCCCAGGCCCCCTAATTCTATGAAAGGGTTTCAGTTGCCCAGCTGTGAGGACCCAAACCCCACCAGCAGCCCATTGTGAAGGCATCCCTGCTCCCCTCTTAGGCCAAAGGCTGCTCTCCAGCCACCTCCACAACAAAAGGGATGGGGGGGGCTGCTGCACCGGAGCACCCCCCCATCCCTGCCGGATGGCTCCCAAGGCAGGCCAAGGCAGGCCGCCATCGCGGCAGGGACTGGGAAGGGGGCTTTGCAGGGCTGGCAAAGAGCAGCAATGCCAGGAGGAGGAAGAAGAAGGGGTGGCTTTGGCCCAGGGGGTGAGGCAAGGACAGGGTGCCCTAGAAGGTGACCCAGGGACAGGTGTGGAGGGGGGCCGGGCGCTCTGCTCTTCAGAGAGCCGTGGGAACAGAGGCCCCCTCCGAAAGGGCACTGCAAATGTCTCCCTTTTCTGAACGACACCCATTCAAAGATTCTGCTCCTTCCGCTGGGACTCCATAGAAACCCCCCCCCTTTAAGAGCAGGGAGCAAAGCAGCCCCAAAAACGAAGAGGTTCTGTCATGGGGCCATCTGATTTACAGGTTTCCCGGTTTAAAATCTCAGTTTGCCATTCAGCAGGAAAGTGGGTGGGCAGGGCAGCCTCCGGAGAAGAAAGCAGTGCCAGGAAAAATGCCCTTCAGAGAAGAAAAGGCTTTGCCAGCGGAAGGGGCACAGCTCCCCTCGCCTGGCTCTGCTGGCCCGGCCACAGCTGAAGGCCACCCCAGGCTCCATCAGGGACAGCGGCAGGCCAGCCTAGCAGCAGCCCTGTGCCTCGGGGTCTGCTTTCGTGATGAAGTTGGGGGGGTTATATGTATACTAAACCCAGCAGCTCTCCCCCTGCTCAGACCCCTCTGGAGGTGGCACACAGGCAGGGTCCGCTGCCGCCCCTGCCCTTCTCTTTGCAGTGCCATGGAATAATTAAGCGCTGCGCCAGTTGTTTGCCCCCCCTCCCCGCCTGCCAAACGGGGTCACTCGCGGGAGCACCAGGCGCAGCTGCCGGGGCCTCCACCCCCAGGAGCAGAACCGAGCTCCTTTGTGGGGCTTGCTTTCTGGCGCACCCCGTTTCCTGCGAGCCAAGGTGCGAGGCAACTCGATCGGACTCCGGAGAGCTGGGAGCCTTTCTATGAAAACATATGTCTGATTTTATCTGTAGTGCCGGCTTTTATCGCTGGCAACCATCGGCTAATGAAACCCGGCTCAGTGCTTGCTCTGATCCGGCTGCAGCTCAGCCACAAACCTCGGGGCTCCGTGCTCCCCATCCATCCCTCCCCCTCCGCCACGTGCCACCCCCTCCCCTTAATCTCCTGGAACCATTTAATATGCATGGCAAGAGAAAAAGGACAAGGCCACAATGGTAGCAGCGGCGGCGGCGGCAGCAATTGGACTGCAGTGCTTAGATTTTAATTTTGCCTTCATATTAAAAGCAAATAACGCAGCCAATTGTAGGACTAAAAGGGGGGGGGGGGAGGTGGCGAAACACACACAAAGCCAAGGTCTTTTTTCCCTGCCTTTTCAAAGTTGACTCTGCGGCTGACAGTCAGTGCTTGAGTTAGGACGGGTGGGGTGGGGTGGACAGGCAGAGAGCCCCGTTGGCTGCCCAGAAAGTGTTGCTCCGTGGCCTGGCCGGCTGGCACTCTGTCCGGAAGGGGAGGGAGAAGGAGACCAAGGAGGCCTGGCCCTTGCCACCTGTCAGCTGGGAGCAGGGCTGCCAGCTGGGAGCAGGAAGGCAAGATATGGGGCAGGGGGAGGGCTGCAAAGGGGTGGGGTGGGGGAAGCAAGGGGAGCCCTTGGCAGGGGGCATCTTGTGACGTGGGCTCACAGAGCTTCCTGCCCACAGCGGAGAGGCAAGTCAGGTGGGTCAGAGGCCTTTGTCCAGGAGGGGCCCAAGTGAGCCACGCTGGGCCCCAAAGGCCTTCTGTCTGACCCAGAGGAGGACTGTGAGGGTAAGGGCGAGAGGAAGCCCAGTGGAGATGGGTGGCAGAGGTGGGAAGATGGATGCAGGAATGCGGGCAGCTTACAGGTACCACTCATTTTGGTGGAGGGCCGCCTTCCTAGGACAGCCCCTTCCTCGCCTATCCCAACTGTTCATGACCAAGCCGAGCGGTTCGCAATTCCCAAAGCAAAACACGCCGATAAAAATCGCAAAAACCGTTAGTAATTATTATAATCCGCATTCCTAAAGCAGTAAAACAAACGAGGCCAGGGCAAAACTGGCTGCGCTCCGGATTAACACCTGAAATGTTCAAACAGGCAATTAGTTCAGAGCAGAAACGGCAGGAGCCCCGTCCGTCTGGGGTGGGGGGTGTCCCTGCTACGCCATCTGCTCCCCATCCCTGACAAAGCCTGATCCACAGGGAGGGGGCGGAGGAGGTAGCCCCCCAAGGGAAACCCTCCAGACCCAGCTCTAGATTGGGGGAGGCGGGGGTGGGCACAAGCGCCCCAACCTTTAAGGGCCCACACAGAGGGGGGACAAGGTGAAGGAAGCATTTTGCCCCCTTGTCCCCTTCTGTGTGAAGTGCTTGACTGCAGAAGATGCTTCCCTTTCTTTCCCCCTTCAAATCATCATTTTCCGCCCAAGAGGGAGGCCTCCCCTCTACATGTTCCCGTCTCTCTCTCTACCTCCGCTGGGTACCTGTATCTTTTAGGCACCAGGCAAACTCCCTTTTATCCACACGTGTAATATACCTAGAAGCTTATACCAGATGTGTTTACAGTGGTACCTCGGGTTAAGTACTTAATTCGTTCCGGAGGTCCGTTCTTAACCTGAAACACCACTTCAGCTAATGGGGCCTCCTGCTGCCGCCGGAGCAGGATTTCTGTTCTCACCCTGAAGCAAAGTTCTTAACCTGAAGCACTATTTCTGGGTCAGCAGAGTCTGTAACCTGAAGCGTAGGTAACCTGAAGCGTATGTAACATGAGGTACCACTGTATATCTGTTTCATGGCACTGTTTGGGTTGGGTTTCATATGGAAATTTAAAATGCCCAAACGCCCACCTGCCCCTGGAGGCCTGTCCTCCTGACAAGAGAGTCAAATGCCTGTTTTGGAACAGAGTGAGTGGATTGGAGAAAAGGACTATAGCGAGCCTGGTCCCCCCCTCCTTTTAAAGTTTCAGGGCACCCATGTGCTGAGTGGTGTGCCCCCCCCCACATAGCTTCCCAGCAACTGAGCAGCTATGCCAGTCCTCAAGCACTTAAAAACTACGAGATCTCCAGGGACTGCCAGCCTATCAGGGATGCTTGAGTTGAGATTCCTGCGTTTCAGGGGGTTGGGCTAAAGGACCCACAGGGTCCCTTCCGCCTGCAGAATTCTGTGATTCTATCTGGGAGGCTTCTAGGATGCCCAGTCTCTGAAGCGAGCATCTCTTGTCAAGGGGTGGGGATGGCAGAGGGAGGGAGCCTCCTGCGACCATTTCTGACAAAGGTTGTAACAAGGACAGCTTACAGCCCCCACTGCCGATCTCCATCCACACTGGCTGATGCAGCAAACAGGCGACTTTATCATCGGGTGCCTGAGACATGGCCAAGCCATTTCCAGCCTCTGCCACTGGGCTTCTGGTCCCAGTGGAAAGAAAGGTCATGCGAGGTCAAGGCCAATGTTCCCAGCAGTTGTTGGTCAGTCAGATGGCCAGGCCATCCCTTGCTGGCCTACCTGGAGCATCTCCACCCCCATCATTCTGCCCGGACACTGAGGTCCAGCTCCGAGGGTCTTCTGGCGGTTCCCTCATTGTGAGGTTACAGGGAACCAGGCAGAGGGCCTTCTCTGTAGTGGCACCCTCCCTGTGGAACGCCCTCCCACCAGATGTCAAAGAGAACAACAACTACCAGACTTTTAGAAGACATCTGAAGGCTGCCCTGTTTAGAATAGCTTTTTATGTGTGACATTTTAATGTATTTTTGGTCTTTGTTGGAAGCCACCCAGAGTGGCTGGGGAAACCCAGCCAGATGGGAGGGGTACAAATAGCAAATTATTATTATTATTATTATTATTATTATTATTATTATTATTATTATTATTATTATTAAAGCCCTGCTAGATCTGGCTCATCGCCCAGGTAGTCCATTGTCCCAAATGGCCATGGGAACCTGAGAACAACAACCATCTCCCCTCTTGAAGTTTCCACCAGCTGGTATTGAAAACTACTACTACTGCTACTACTAATTTTATTATCTATACCAGGGGTCAGCAAACTTTTTCAGCAGGGGGCTGGTCCACTGTCCCTCAGACCTTGTGGGGGGCTGGACTATATTTTGAAGGGGAAAAAATAGAAAATGAACGAATTCCTATCCCCCACAAATAACCCAGAGATGCATTTTATATAAAAGCACACCTTCTACTCATGTAAAAACACCAGGCAGACCCCACAAATAACCCAGAGATGCATTTAAAATAAAAAAGGACACATTCTAC